AGGGCAATATCAAAATCTAATACAAATATCTCCCCTCACAAACCCTACTCTCAAGCAAAGAAAAGCCTCCCTGTCCAGCTGCTCTGAGCTCTGCCTCAGACACACACAGATCACAGACCCCCAAGGATATGAATGACAAAGTATGGACTTCCCTCCTCCCAGGCTGTCAGAGATCACTCCTGGTAGAATTGATTCACAGAGCACGCTGACCAGAAACATAGTATTGGCCTGCCAGAATTTATACTGAGACTCAAGTTACTTACAGATGCAGAGAAAATAGATTTCCCTTGCTATTAGTGTGTTAATATGCAAAGCATCCCAGAAGAGGGCGGCTATACTGTGTTATGCCCAGTGCAGGCAGCAGAGGGTATGGGGTAGGAAAGGGGCAGATTTACTGTATAAAGGCCACTGGGGGCAGCTGAGGGTTGAGGTGGGAAGGGGCAGCTCTGCTGTATAATGGGTACTAGGACCATGTAGTGAGGCCTTATTGGAAATCCTGGGAGGTGGGTGGTCACAAGCCGACCAATGTCTAAAGGCCCCTCCCCTAGCCTTGCTGGAGGGACCACTGGACCTGGGAACCAACTGAAGATGGTGGACAACTAATAAATAACAGGATCAGGAGTAAAGCTCACAGGTTCAGAACTAGGGATCCAGAGGGGGACACCGAGCAGAGAACCCTGGACAGCGCCCACTGCTCCTCAAAGCTGTCTAGGGAGCCAGCGGACGCCACCCAGAGGAACTCTGCCCGGATGCGTGAGACCTTGGAGTAGCAGAAATAGGCCCCACAGTTGCAGAGCACCCCGTCGTCAAGCATCCTCCTCCTGGTGTTGTAGATGGCCACTTTGGCCAGGGCCGGGAGGAGGTTGATGAGGAGGTCTCGAGACTTGGTGGGGCCGCGGACAGGGTGTGTGAAAAGAAACAGATGTGTGGAAAAATGGAGGAGCCGGAATAGGGGCTGCAACCTGGTGCATTTGAGATAAGCGTGCACCAGGTTCTCCCTCATGCTGCAAAAGGGGCAGGAGTCGGGAATGGGGTGAACTGTTCCAGGTACACTCCAGTGCTCACGGCTCCATGGAGGAGCCACCAACCAATGTCCCCAGTGGACCGTGGTACTAGTGTAGAATAGAGGCTGGCCCACCGGTGTTCGTCACCCTCCACAGGTGGTAGATAGTCCCGCCATTTGGTATCAGGGCGGGACACGAGTGTGAGGAAGTGAAACGTGTGGAGCACGAGCATGTATAGTTGTTTCCTTGGCATGGTTTGGAAGTGGACTGGCTGCAGGGCATGCAGCCGGCTCGGATTGTGGAAGGGATGGGCCTGGGAGGGCTCACGGGACAGGGGCCCGATAAAAAGGTCCGGAGAGCCTGGGGTGAGGGGCGGGTGGGGAGCATCCTCTTGCAGTACCTGCTCAAGGAAAACACGAGAGGTGGGCGACAAGGCTGCCCCCACCTACTGGAGCACACATAGGGGGGGTCAGGAGATTGGAGAGCCCCATGCACCGACCGAGTGCTCAGGAATCCACCCAGTCCCCCCATCATAGTCCAGAAGGTCTCCGATTCTGGTGGTTTCTGCCAGGACCAGCCTCCTGTGCACTGGGGTGGGGGGACTCTGCCACCTGCACACGTATGTTGGGGTTGTGTAGCAGGGGCTCCGCGAGGAGGTCCGCCCCCTCTGTGGCCACAAGAGACCTGGTCGCCGAGAACAGCTTCCAGGTCTGGAGGAGGTCCTGGTAGAAGACTGGCAGCTCGGAGAGGTCTTGCAGAAGACCCCTCGGGTGGAGAAGAAAGAGCTGCCAGTTGTATTGGAGCCCTTGGAGGTGGTGGAGGAAGGCGTGCGCCAACGTGCTCCACGTCGGACTATCTGCACCATAAAGGAGTCTCTGCAGGGCCTAGAGGTGGAAGACATGGACCTGGCTGCAGAGGCAGACCAGGTTCTGTCCTCCCTCCTCCAGAGGAAGACTCAGGACCCCTGCAGAGACCCAGTGCAGTCCTGGCCAGAAGAACTGCAGAGCGACTTTCAGGAGCCGGGCCAGGATCCCCGGGGCTGGACTCAGGATGTTGAGCCGGTGCCAGAGTATGGACAGGACTAGTTGGTTCAATACCAGGACCCTCCCCCGCAGGGAGAGGCACCAGAGCAATCCTGTCCATCTCCGCAGCCGCTCACCCACCCTGGCCTCCAGATCCTGCCAGTACTCCAGTGGAGAAGGATGCATGGCAGAAAGGTAAATGCCGAGATAGAGCAGTGGACCCACGCTCCACTGAATGGCTTGAAGCCTTGAGGAGGCCTCAACCACAGCATCAGGCACGATGGCATCAGTGGCAGGGCCCCCAATCAGGAAGGGAGGCGGCTGCCCCGCCTCAGAGAGGGGCGCACCCAAGAGCTCAGGGCCCGGTCGCTCGGTACCGGCTGTCACCACCAGGGTCTCGGCGGCCACGAGCAGGGTACCATCTGCGGCTGGGCAGGTGGATGAATCCAGGGGCTCGCCAATGTCAAGAGTGGGGGTGGTAGCCTGGGACAAAGGGGAAAGAGGAGGAGGGGGGTGGCATAACCAAGCTACCACCCAGATCGAGGCCCACTGGCAAAGGGTCGTCCTCCCCCTGGGTGATCGGGGTCAGACCCAGGGCCTCGATCTCCTCAATGATGGAGGTGAAGTCTCCCCTCACCACCCCAGAGTCCTCCCCGCCTGCAACTGAGGCAACAATCACCTCGGCACTGATGCGGGGCACAGGTAACAAAAGGGCTGGGGGGGCTCCATCTGAGGCCTCCTCGGGGAGAGACTCCGAGAGGGGGGCGATCGCGCCCCCTTCCGCTGCCATGGCATTCCCGGCCGGCTCCACCTGCTGAACTGTCTTGAGACCTGGAAGTCTCTGCAGTGGTGGCCCCCCTCATGGTCTTGTCTGGGGCCTCCACCCCCTCCACATCAAGGGGGAGGTTTTGAGCCCGAGAATTCCTTTTGCCGCGCTTCCTCTGCACGAGTACCCAGCCGTCCAAGGTGGAGGCGGAGGGCCTGGCAGCAGGGGCAGGGCCAGGGGGCAAGGGCGATGGTGCCATGGGATGGGGCAGCAAGGGGGAACAGCGGGGGGAAAGGAAACCTCCACCCTCTCCCATGCCTGGCAATGGCCCTGCCGCCATCTCCTCCATGGGCCCCGCTGGACTGGGAGCGGGCGGGCGGCTACCCCTGGCACCCGAGCAGGAGTGATGGCAGAAGGAGGAGGAGTGAGGAAGGAGCAGCTATACTGTAAAGTGAGCACCAGGGGCACTAGTGGGTAAGCCACATGAATGACTCCAAATTGATATAAGTCACTATTTAGAGATGAAGCTTTTGGGTTTTTAGATGACTCTTTTGGTTGACTTAAAGACTGTAGGGGCCTATTATGATCATCTTGTGTGATCTGCTGCAATGTATAGCTCACACAACCTGATCCAGCAATTCCTGCCTCTAACCCTTAGCTCCTGTTTGAACTAAAGCAGATCTTTCAGAAAGACAACTGTGTCCCTTTAGAGACCCCAGTGATGGGGAAGGCACACGGACTTGAGTTCAGTTATCCCCATGGTTAATTACCCTTGCCTAAAAATTTCCACTTTATTTCTAGTCTGAATCAGTCTGGGTTCAGCTTCCAGTCACTGGGTCTCCTTCTGTGCTTTTGTTTCAGATTAGAAAGCTGTCTAATTATTCAAAATCATACCCCTAAAATAGGCTGTGATAAATAAAGTGTGGGGGGGGGGGTAGCTCCCTTTGATGGACACCCAGCCAGCCAGTTAGATGTAAAATCCCTCTTGGTAGCTGTTCTTTACTTGCTTTACCTGTAAAGGGTTAAAAAGTCCCCCAGGTAAAGAAAAAAAAGTGGGCACCTGACCAAAAGAGCCAATGGGAAGGCTAGAACTTTTTAAAATGGGGAAAGAAACTTTCCCTATGTCTGTTGTTCTCTGGGCTGCAGGGACAGGGAGCAGTAATGTTGTAAGCAGCTTTAAGCCAGGTATGATTATAGATTATCAATTCATACTTTGAACCTACATATCTGGAGCCACAGATATGTAAGTGAAATTAGAGATTGGCTAAAAAGACACAATTAGGGTTATTTCTTTTATTTCTTATTGGCTTGTGGACTCCTCTGTTCTAACCCCAGATGCTTTTGTTTGCTTGTAACCTTTAAGCTGAACCCCCAAGAAAGCTATTTTAGGTGCTTGATTTTTGGAGTTGCTCTTTTAAAATCTAGCAAAAGCCTAAGTTCCAGATGTATTTTCTTTCTTTTAGTTTTTAATAAAATTTACCTTTTTTTAAGAACAGGATTGGATTTTTGGTGTCCTAAGAGGTTTGTGCATATGCTGTTTGATTAGCTGGTGGCAACAGCTAATCTCCTTTGTTTTCTTTCTCAGCTTTTCCCCCGGGGGAGGGGGTGAAAGGGCTTGAGGGTACCTTGCAGGGAGGAATTCCCAAGTGCTCCTTCCTCGGTCAAAGGTGTTTGTTTTTTTTAATTTGGGTGGTGGCAGCATTTACCAAGCCAAGGTCAGAGAAAAGCTGTAACCTTGGGAGTTTAATACAAGCCTGGAATGGCCAGTATTATTTTTAGAATCCTTGTGGGCTCCCACCTTCTGCACTCAGAGTGACAGAGTAGAAATTCAGCCTTGTACACATCAGTAATACCACCTCCCTGCTCATGGCTGATATACCCCTGTAGGAAGAGTGAGAGGTGACAGTATATAAGTACCTTCATGGTCCAGTTCATTAATTTACATAAATTATGTTCTGATACAGCATATGATAGGAGCATCACCTGATCTCCAATTTTTCAAGTATTCTCTTTTTGGCCTTTATCAAAATAGACTTTTTTGCCTTCTCTTTGGATTTTCCCAATTTAACAGCCACCTGCAAGTGAACCAGATTAAGATGTTTTTGTAAATACTTGCAGATAGGTTTCCAGTTTGATTCCCTCTAGCTGTGTGCCATTGGAATGCTACAAAAGATGCTCTGACATCCACATGCTTCACCCAGTCATCTCAATGGGTGTATGATCTGTGGAGGCAGCTGGAGTTGCCCTGAGTGTCATTAAAATGATTGGAGTCAGTATATCCCAATTGCATCCATTGGCATCTACCAGTTTCCACAGCGTTAGTTTGATGATGCAATTTGTTCACTCTACCATCTCTGATGATTGTGGTCTATATGGAATACCAATTTTTTGTTGCACTGCCAACAACTGTAAACACCTGGAAACATTCACCCAATAAAACATGTCCCTCTATCTAACTCTACCCTAGTGGGGAGTTTCCAATCAGAGAAGTCTTGTTCCAAATATTTTTGTTGTGGCTAAAGCAACATTTGCCTTAAGAGGAAATTCTTCCATCCATTTGGAGAATGGGTCAATAACAACAAGAAGGTACTGGTTTCTCCTGATCATAGTAGATGAACTCATTTATGAAAAAGCAATATGCTTCTATGATTTTTATTCTGGGAGATATTACTGTGAAAAACTGAGTCAAGGTTTTCCCTTGATCAACATATGGGCACACATCAGAGTTCCCAGAATACAACAGGGCACCAGGCAATGGATATAAGGTCTGTACTCGGATCACTGTTATATCTTTTCCCTGCAACAACAAAGTCCAGTTTGTCAGTTCAGCCTTGGACAGATCTCCATCCTTGATTCGATTATAAAACAAGAACTGGAGAAGGGTGTGTGTGGAACATAGAGCTATTGGGTTTAAACCAATTAAAAACACAAACTGCTTGGTAGCCCAACTGGTGACCAATACATATTTTTCACAAGTGGAATATTTAAGTTCTACTACGCTCATTCTTCTAGAGTCATAGACTATTGGCCTAAATTTCCATGCTTCTCTTTAGAAGCTACCATTGCAAGTTCAGTTGCACTGAGAGAGACCTCTAAGAGATATGGTTTGCTGGGATCTGGAGTGGTCAGCACAGGTGCTTTTATTACTGCTTGCTTCAATTTTACAAATCCATTAACATGCTGGTCTATCCAGGCCCAAGCAATCCCTTTTTTCAGAAGTTTGTACAGTGGACCTGCAATGGAAGAAAAGTTAGGAATGAAGTTTTGATGGTATCCTGCCAATCCTAGAAAAGATCATAAAGAAATTATATCAGTGGGCATGGGCAATTCTCAAATTAAATTCACCTTCTGTTGAGCTCGTGTTCCATCTCCTTGAGACAAGCTAATACCTGAAAAAAACTTCTGTGGAGGAAAATTTCCTCCTGTGATTATAATAGTCACTGCCATTCTTTCACACACATGCCCATGTTTAGCAAAAGCATCTATATATTAAGTCACTTATTCATGCACATTTGCCCTTTTCTTTGCAATGTTTGCCTTTGGGAGGAAAAAACTGCACAGGGCCTGTTGGCTTCATACTATCTGTCATTATGGACCCTCATTTACTCCCTCCCCTTCCTGGCTTTCATACTGCATAAGTGGAGTTGAAATCCAGAATAATGTTGCAGTAGCTACTGCAATGGGTTGAGGTGGGGTGGGCTAGCAATTCAAAATCATGGAGTTCATCTGCTGGTGCATTTCCTGCATTTCACACTTCTGAGGTTCTAGTGTTGTTCCAATCTGGTGAAGTTCTAATTATGTCCAGTTTAGGACTAGGAGGTTGATAGGCTGGGATTTTTGGGAGGGAATGATTATTGTCAGGTATGAATTGTCTCACACTGTAGTTGGTGAAGATAGTGATGAGTGTGAAGTGGCAAGCTCTCCTTCATTTAGGTGCCTGTGATTGTTATATCATGGATTTTGAGTTTGGGGGCGGCATGGTATGGCACCTCTTGGATATGAACAGTTTCTAATATTATTACCCAACCCTCTTGAGTGATCTTGTTGGCCTTCTGCCACATGTTGTAGGCCTTCTACTTTAATTTTTGTTCTACCTGAGGCTCCTTGAACAGTTGCTATAGGAGGATGAATTCTCTTGGAACTTTTCAGTTGGGTCTGAATATAACTATAAGATTAGACAATTCATCCAAAATATCTGGAAGGGTACTCTTGGTGTGTACATGCATCATAGAATCATAAAACTGGAAGGGACCTTGAGAGGTCATCTAGACCAGTCCTCTGCACTCAAGGCAGGACTAAGTATTATCTAGACCATCCCTGACAGGTGTTTGTCTAACCTGATTTTAAAACATCCCCAATGATGGAGATTCCACAACCTCCCTAGGCAATTTATTCCAGTGCTTAACCACTCTGACAGTTAAGAAGTTTTTCTTAACGTCCAACCTAAACCACCCTTGCTTCATTTTAAGCCCACTGCTTCTTGTCCTATCCTCAGAGGTTAAGAAGAACTGTTTTTCTCCCTCTTCCTTGTAACAACCTTTTATGTACTTGAAAACTGTTATCATGTCCCCTCTCAGTCTTCTCCTCTCCAGATTAAACAAACACAATTTTTTCAATCTTCCCTCATAGCTCATATTTTCTAGACCTTTAATAATTTTTGTTGCTCTTCTCTGGACTTTCTCCAATTTGTCCACATCTTTCCTGAAATGTGGCACCCAGAACTGGACACAATACTCCAGTTGAGGCCTAATCAGCGCGGAGTAGAGTGGAAGAATTACTTCTTGTGTCTTGCTTACAATACTCCTTCTACTACATCCCAGAAAGATGTTTGCTTTTTTTGCAACAGCGTTTTTATTTATTTAACTTGTGATCTTCCATGACTCCCAGATCCTTTTCATGGTACTCCTTTCTAGGCAGTCACTTCCCATTTTGTATGTGTGCAACTGATTGTTCCTTCTTAAGTGGAGTGCTTTGCATTTGTCTTTATTGAATTTCATCCTATTTACTTCAGACCACTTCTCCAGTTTGTCCAGATCATTTTAAATTTTATATTCTATCCTCCAAAGCACTTGCAACCCCTCCCAGCTTGATATTGTCCGCAAACTTTATAAGTGTACTCTCTATGCCATTATCTAAATCATTGATCATAACCTTTCCTCAAACTGCTGGTGAAGCATTGTTAACTAACAAATCAATATATTGAGGGTCCGTTTCCTTTCCAGACATTTCATCAGATTTCCAAGCTGCATATAATCTATTATGAAACACATATGGGGATTCTCCCTCCTGTTGTCTCAGATTAGCTACCAGGGTGACCCCTGCCTGTCCTAGGTTCATATTCTGTTCTAACAGATGTACAGTGTCTGTAAAGGATTTTTCCTCTTCTTGAAATTCTGGTGGCAATGTATTCCACAAAGTGCTGCATGTATTGCAACTCTATCTCCTTTTTTCATTGGCCCTATCATCTTTTCAGTGGCATTTAGTGTTTTTGCATTTGTAACTACTGCTATCGGGAAGGCATGGCTATTCAATCCTGAAGATTCCAATTTAGAAGTTGATTCTTGTTCCTCCTTTATAGTTATATTGGGGATTTCCTTTTCCTCTTTTTTTCAAAGGAACTGGTATCTCCCAAGTTTAGGCAGCTTCTACAGTGTAAAATGTAGGTGGGAAGTTTTGTTCTAACCTTTTATACTTTGTTTTGGTTGGGGTAGGTGCCTGCACCTTGTGAAGGTCTGGCATTGGCAGGTTGTCCTGTGGGGATTCTGTTTTTGGCCAAGCCTTTTGGTGTAAAGTGGGCAGATGGGAATCAGAATGAAGTATGCCACTTGTTCTCTTCCTTATTGCTTCTGGCTCAATTGACTTAAAGGTATTAGACTCATTTGTTAGGGTCACAAATTGCCCAGACTTTCATCTTTCATGGGAGGCATTTATATCTAAGATTGCTTCCTTTCATGTACTTACAGCAAGTTCTATAGTTCCCTGGGTTTCTTGTAATAAGTGGCACAATTGTGAATGAGACTGAAGCACCTCCTGACTTTTTCTTTCTTGGTAAACTTTTTTGTAACAGACCTTCCCTTTCTTCACTGCAGACAGCTTCTTCAACTCCCCCTTTCACTCCCCCCGAAGTGCCTGTCTCAGTGTCTGTATCTGATACTTCCTCTTTTTCTAACTTGACTGAGTGTTTATTCTGTTATTGCTGTCTGCTCTTAGACCCTCAGCCCCACTTACCCAATGGAAAGCTATGTCCTAATATTGGCTGTTCTTTCCCAGGTTCCACCATGGCTACTGGGATATGGGAAATGGGGTTATCTGGTATTACATTAATAACATATACAGGAGGAAACTGCATCTCTGTACATACATCTTTCTCACTCTCTATCTTTGGGATATCTTGGATTTGCTGCCCAATCTCACTGTAAGCAGAACACAGTCCTTTTTACCTACATGAAATAATTTGTTTTCAATTAATTACACCCATACGGTCTAAAGTGGCCTTTCTTTCCATCATACTTTCTGTGTTCTCTGGAGCCATGCGCTAGGTGCCAATTTGTAGCCTTTTATTTTATTTAAAGTGAATTTTGGAATGTGGTATTATACCACTGTGGCTTTGGCTCTACAGTGGCTATAATTTCAAGCTTAACAGAGTGAAAGTCACCTCTGCTACTTGCTTCAGATTTAGAGTCTCTAGCAACACATAAAGACCAAGGCTAGTGACCACACAGACATTTACAAGTAAAAGGTCTAGTCTGTTTCAAAAGTTTTATTAAAGTTACAATTAAAGTTATGATTACCTGAGCTTATAGAAATTCTACACAGACCTACGCACAAGTTACAAATATAGTTATACTCACATCTCCTAGACAATGTTAGGGTCTGATGGGTCTTTCACGGATTGATCCTCAGTAGAGGGATAGTCCAGCTGAAGTTCCCCATAGGGAGCTCAGTTTTCCTGATCTGGGCACCCTCTTTTTATAATATGATTCTGATTATACCTCATTAGCATTTATGCACATAGTACAACTTGAGGTTAGGGCATGTGTTAGAAAAATGTGACTTGTAAGCAAAAAAAAATGACTCTTACTGTTAATATTTTGCAAGATCTCTCATTGGTACACTTTTTTCCCATAATCTTGTGGCCTAGGGTCATTTTTGGTCACATACTTTTTGTTAAGGCTTCCCCTCACACTCTCTTCGTTCCTGTCAGGCAGACAGAAAGCAGAAGGCCAGAGTCGAAAGTGCAAGCAATGTGAAGTTTATTGGGGTTTCCAAGCAAACATAATTCATAGCTATGTAGCCCATTAGAGCTTTTCCTGTCCTATCCCCGCCCCTATCTTTCTTAGCAGGCTTTATCATACTAGTGGTGCAGGCCCCTGGCCCCACCCCTTACAATTTATGGACATGTTCTGGTTTGGAGGGTTGTGAGTCTGGGGGCTTTGGTACCACCTCTTTTGTACCCCATGGGAGGGGTAGGGAGTGAAGTTGTGTACTGGCTAAGGCCAGGTTTATCTTTGGCTTTTAGTGTTTCTTCAACCTTCCCCACCCCCCATCCCCCTCATCCCTTCCAACTGGTTGCTTGACCTTGTCTTGAGATAGGAGTTGAGGCAGTCGTATACTAGTCTCCCACCAAAACCAGCAACACTTTAGCTCTATTTCTTTTCTTTTCTCATTATACTGACAAACCCATCTGGTTGGGCAGAAGCAACACATGATGTCTTTGTTTTTTGTTCACACATGTTTGCAAGGATATAAGAATATCGTAATATAAGAATTGCCTTGAGAACGGTCGGGTTGATGCCTGTCTAAATATTGCAACTTCAACAATGAGCACAAAGGACTTCGATGTAGCTGTGACAGTGAGGTACATTAAAAACACTAAAGTATGTCGAATTTATTATTATTGTTATTATTATTAGCTAGCTAGCTAGGTTACTAGTTTTTTTTCGGTGTGGAAAATTGTTCTATTTTATGGGTTGAATAACTGAATGACATAACCCCCCGCCAATGTCCGTCACTAAGTCCGGTAATTTTGTCAAATGTCCGTCACACAACATGGTGGTGCTGACCCCTGCTCTGTAATTGTAAAAGTGTTTGCTCTTGAACGGTAAACCCAGTCAGGAGGAAGCATTACCAAGTGTGAAATACTAGTTTGCCCCAGCAGGGGTTATCTACTGTCCAGCAAAAGAAGGCCCATAGACATCAGACAAGCCATTGTGAAACGTCAGCGGACAAAGGAGTTTGTTGATTGCTCCCCTCACATCAATGAAGGAGAGATGTGCATGAGCACCATGTCTCATCAGGTTAGACTCTTGGGAGAAGAGCATACAAATCCCTGATGAGGAGATCTATGCTGCTTGAGAGTTGGGAGGGCACAAAATTTCTAAACATAAGCAAGAATTCCCATCTCTTTTGCCTGGGTTAGCTCTAGAGGACATATAGAGCTGGCATATTACAACAGCTCTATCACCTTTTGAAACCTAAGACTAATTCACATGTGTGTGTATGTTACCTGCTTTAACCTTGTTAATAATTCTAATTTATTTTTTCTTAGTTAATAAATCTTTAGATCGTTTACTACATTATTGGCTGTAAGCCTTTTCTTTGGGATGAACTCTAAAATGCAACTGACCTGTGGTAAGTGACCCATCCTTTGGGCCTGGCAGTAACCTAAATATTGTTGTGATTTTTGGTGTAAGGGACCATCTATCACAAAGGCAAGGTTGCCTGAGTGGCAGGATAGACCAGAGTGTCCAAGGGGACTGTCTGTGACTTCATAGTTAGGCTGTTGTAGTGTCTGAGGAGCTTATACCTGATATGTGGTTGTTGAAATCTAAGTATACAAGTCACAAACCATTTGCTTCTATCAGTCTGCTGTGAGGTTGGTACTCATGTCCTTGAGCCACTCAAGACAGCATGACACCTAGTATAAGGAATAAGGATAGAAATGGTTACAAAAAAACAGAAGTCCAGATGTGTTCCTCAGACTAAACTGAACTTAACAGATTAGAGTCTTAAGTTCAAAGAATTTTTTCTCACCACTACGGTTGCCAATGTTGGTTGGAAGTATTCCTGGAGATTTCATCAAAGGGCAATCTTTAATTAAAGATTAATATTCAATTGCTGGAGAGGAATATTCAATTCCAGGACAATCCTTGAGGGTTGGCAACCTTACTCATCATAGTCTTTCTTCCAGGGTGGCTGGCCTGTCCTTTAGCCAGGAGACCACACATGGACCTCAAAATGCTGGTTTCTTTGTCTCTTCAGGTGAAGGGTGCCAAAATGGCTTTTTCTCTCTGCTTATAACCTAAAAGTTTTGTCTTTGTTTTCAAAGTCAGGAAACTCCTCTGGTATTCAGTGCGCACCAGAGAGCTGATGCCATTTTAATAATTCTATCTCTGTTGTGATAGCGAAGTGGCTATTGCCCCCACTTGCTAGTTTAATGGTGTTGTTTACCTTTTATGTAAATGTACTTTCTTTGTTTCTCCTGGCTTCATTTACATTGGAGACACATTCGAGCACCCGGGTCCACAATGCTTTGTCTAGGATGGGGTGAATTCAACCTTATGTGCCAAACACATTTCCAGGACATATTTGCAGCGTATTTCTAGTCTGTGTGTCAAACTGCTCAATATAATGGGATGGAGTCTTGTTAACTATCTGTTTTGAATTTTGCCCTTGTAGTATTTGTGTTATACTGGTATTTTGTTTTGAGGGTTCACTGCTCAGATTATCTACCCCTCAAGTATGTAAAATCACTAGGTGGTTTTATACAAAGTAATAGTTCATTATAAAGGTGCAGTGAACCCTTTAAGCTAAGTTATTTGTCAAATGAAGGAGTATAATGAAAATAGGCTCTCATAAACACCTCAGGTTTTCAGGGATAGTGAAAGTACAGAAGTTATCAACTTTAAAGCTAGTAAATGCCCATAACATCAAGTCCCACAATGTTGTACTGGGAAAGAGAAGTAGTAAACTGCTAAGTGGGACTCATCACCATGTAATTTTATCAGGTTTCCCTGCCACTTTTATGGTTTCTATTCCACCCTGTGGTTCTATTTCCGGTCATGTGTACTTTTGGCACCGTTGGCCATTTTGAAAAAAATGTTTTTATTTTTGTATTGGGGAATGTTAAGGGTGCTTGTGTGCCTGTGTTTTGACATGATAGGCTGAGTTTGGGAGGGAAAAAGATAAAGTAAATAGAAATGTTAAAGAGATTTTAAAAATAAAGAATAGAGTTGAGAAAAGCAAGAGAACCTGTGTCACTGAGCACATGGCAGTAAGAGAAGCAAAGAGGGTTTTTTTAAAAGTGCTTTAAAGAAGAAAAAAAAGGGTCATTTTGAAAAAAAGAAAAGCAAAAGGTTTATTAAATAAAAGAAAAATAAGGTTTCATAAAGAAAGAGGAAAATAAAAAAAAGGATTTAAAGAAATTAAAGAATAGAGATGAAGTTGTTTCAAAAGGTTATGAAAGAAGAGTTTTAAAAATATAAAGAATAGAGAGCGAGAAATTAAAAAGGGTTATTTTGAAATAAATTAAAGAAAAAAGGCAAATTAAAGAAAATAGAGATTTCTATGTTAGGTTGAGAGAAAGTTTAGTAAGCACGTGATAGACAAAGAGAGGAGGAGAAAAGATAGGGAACACATGGAGAGAGAGGAGCAAAGAGGGTTTAAAAAGTTTATTAAAAAAGGCTTATTTTGAAATAAAGCATAGAGTTGAGAAATTCAAGAAAGAGAGGATTTCAAAGAAATTAAAGAATAGATAGAGACCCTGTGTCACTGAACACAGGGCAAAAAGACTTCTTACATTTTAGAAAAAAAGGGTTATTTTGAAATAAAGAATAGAGAGAAATTAAAGAAAATAAAAAGGGGGTTTAAAGAAATTAAAGAATAGAGATGAGCTTGTTTATGAAAGAAAAAAGATTTTAAAAAATTAAGAATGATTTTTAAAGCAGAGCAGATGGCAGAGTATGAGAGCAAAGAGGGGTTTAGAAGTTAAGAAACAAGGGTACTTTCAAATGAAGCATAGAATTGAGAAATTCAAGAAAGAGAGGATTTCAAAGAAATTAAAGAATAGATAGAGAGCCTGTGTCACTGAACACAGGGCAAAGAGATTTTTAAAGGAGAGAAAAGACAGCACATGGCAAGGAGATTTTAAAGAGGAGAGAGAGAGAGAGAGAGTGAAGCAGTGAGCTTACCCAAGCAGCTGCCCCTAGTGAAATGACATGTGTGTTTACATATGTGTTTCGATTAAAAAAAATAGCATGCAACGAGCCCTATTTGAAGTAG